GAGACTCAAAACATACCCACTTGGATATTCATTTAATCAATGTATGGCACTCATATGCTGTCAAATTAAGGATTTTGAATGAATAAAGTATAATGAGATGGATACCTAGCTCGACATTCATATATCTATAGACTTGACGATTTTGCGTGAATTTGGTGTAGGGAGATAAATATCCTATTGAATACCTGTATGTGATTACTCAGTTGGATATCTGTTTTGATGTATGTCCTGACTCGTAGCTGGTGTTCATCCAGCATATGCATATGATGACATCTTTGCATACATAGGATATATAAAAAACACTGAATAACGTATATGCATTATGGCCTTCGATCAAAAATTAAAATAATAAATATTATTTCAAGGCATGGGCGGCGCAAGCTCAATTTTTTAGGGGAAGCAATAAGCTCTAGAATGAGACTATATCCTTCTCCGAGCCATAATTCAAAGCTCGGCAGTAAAAGTATTTTTAGAAATTAATTTCTCAAAGACATAGTATTAGAAGTCTGCGTATTCATTTATTTGAGAGCATATTAAGGCCTTTCCCCTCAGAAAAAGTCAATTTTTATCAAAAAAAATGAAAACTAGGATAAATGCATGGAGGAATAGCTCGCGTTCTGCTCTTTCGGAAACAAAATGGTTTTTAAATCGACATCCGGTTTTGGGACAAAACTTTTGATAAATTTTATCATCCACTTCTTAAAAAACAGGAACAGACTTTTTCCAGAAAAAATGGAAAATATTTTTCGTTTTTTCTCAGACTATACTTTTGCACACGCGCAACCCAAATTTCCCTGTCCAGACTCATTCAATATTTTTAATTTTCTTTTTGTTTGAAAGAGAACGTCAAAATTTAGGGCACCACAGAGTCCTTTTTCAATTAAGCTTTGTTTTTTATTATATATGCAAACAATTATGTAAATTGGTGCCCATTTTTAGAGGGTTTTCTGAATTATTGAACTTGTCATCCCTTTTCTTCGCTTAAAAAGTAAGAATTTAAAAAAATAGGACTGTAGTGCCCTATATCCTGACATACTCTTTCAAACAAAAAGAATTTTAATGTGTTGAAGGAGCACGGACAGAGAAAAATGGATTACAAAATGAGCTTTTTTTTGTCGCTGTTTGGTATATATCTCTATCAAACATCATGATACAGGGCTGACAATTTTACCATAGTGTCTCCACGTCAGTCTCAACATGGTCTGAAAATTTCAGACGATTTGAATGTACTTGGTCCTAGAATCGATTTTTCAGGAGAAAGACCAGAGTTTGAGCGTAGTGTAACGTTTTTGTTGAGAACAGATGTATTCAGAACGAGTTAGCAAAACTCAACTTTTTTTTGTTATTATCTTCCGCTCACCAGTCATTTAGTTTTCGAGTTGATACTCATGTGAAAGACTGTCTGCCATTTTAACAGCTATTTCTTCTTGATGGAACTATAAACGTAAGAATCAATTGAAAATATTGCGGTCTTCTCATGGAAACTGTTTACTTAACTATTTATGTTAGCAGCTAGTTGATCTCTTTATGAGTACGTTCTTATACGGTGATTATGGACGAAAGCAGAAACAAGTACAAATTAAAGTTACTTGATAATCAAAAGTTCAGAAAACATGGAGAAATAACATACGGATGAAACATAAACAATTAGAGAAAGCAATAAATTTTTATTGGTTCCCCAAATTCTTTTTAGGGGAAGCAATTGCTAACTCGTTGCTTGCTGGTGCGCCACCCATGTTTCAAGGTACAAGACAAATTGATAGTTCAAAACCATACACTGTTTGAATAGGTCTTGTATAAAATAAACCCCATTATATTGTTTTAAAATGTACTTACAAAAGTGATCCGATTATGCAAGTGGTATCTACTCTTAGATAGCCGCAGCTTTAATTGACGTAAGCTACGGGAGAAATAATAAAAAGATATGATGTTTTTATGAAACCGCTGCGGCATTAATTCTGAACGTTTTGGATTTCACTACATACAAACACAGTAAAAATAACATTAATGGAGGATGATAGAACAATTCATGACTAGGAGCGGCACACTTACTACTGTTACTTCAATCTCTCCTGACTATATTAAAGGTGAATGTGTTGATGACTGAAAAAATTCCTATTTAGCACAGATAATTGCTCAGTTTATCAATTGTCTAGTAAAGTATATAGTTCTTTCAGTTTTCAACATATAATTTTTCATGAACATTTATTCCGAATGTTGCCAAGTATGTTGATTTTCTATGAACAAACAAGGATGATTTTTATGGAAAACGATATTCTATTACAAGAGAAGTTTTATATGATGAAAAAAGAACAAAATAAGAAAAGACGTTGTTTATGTTTTGCTAATATTTTCCGCTTTTTTCTATTTGAAGTCGAAGTCTTCGATGAAGCTCTAACGCACGTTGTTTAAATCGATCATATTTAGATGTCGATTGTTTTTCTTTTGTATCGTCATGTCTTACAATAAAGCCTGACAATAAGATTATTACTAATTAATGAATGAAAAATAAATAGATGAAGACAAACCTAGTAAATGCAATGGAACTGGTTCATTGGTTACAGTTATAACTTCATAGGTTTCTTGATCTTCTTGACAAGGCACCTTAAAATTGATAAGATCTGATCGATTTGTTTCTTTTCCATCTTTAACATAAGCAACAGAAAGATACTATTAGAATAATAAGAAAAACTAGTACCCTACTTTTAAGTTTTGCTATAATTTGAACAGTATGGCTTTTATCAGGTTTCATACGATGTATACAAATTTGTATTTCCTTATTTACTGGTAATTGATCTATCTATAGGATATATAATAGAATAATATCCGTTTTTTGCAGAAACACTTTTTCTTACGGAAATGAGAATGAAAACAATATGAAATATTGACATTTTCGAAACTTTTCATCTTATTTTTATATGTTTAGTAAGATATGTTTATGCAATAGCTATTTATTTTTATGTATTTAACTATATGTACTTCTAATCATTATTTTATTTTAATTTCAAATCATGTCACATTGCTCAAATCGCCTTTGAACCAAAAGCTAGTGTCTGACAGGCGATATTTTATCTCACAATTAAAATAATGAAACTAAAGCAAGAAATCCGAAGTTCTTTCAGTTAAGAATGCAAGCCAATTGATTGAGCGGTAATTTTCATTTTCACGAAATAAATGATAAATAAAAATAAGTATGAATCAAAATATTATCAATTTTATGTATGTAGGGTTTTATTACAATTAATTAATTCATTGTAAAATCAATTGTTCATTATCTCAGCTGGTTACCAATTCAATTAAATATCTTTCCTGGTCAAGGCTATGAGTGTAGATTCGAAGAAAAACCAGACCCACACTCTATGTTGCTTATACACTGAGATGATGATCAATCGGTTCGGTAATGAACTAATTAATTATAATGAAATGTTATATGTAGAGCCCATTATAGTTTGATCTGGACTTGTTTTCGGTTATCAATTCATTCAGCAATATCGAAATCAGCGCAAATAGAGTAATTCGACTGAGCTACTACTATCGAAGTAATAATGATATGCAGTAGAGTTTTAAAAATTTTTGAGATCTCTAAAATAATTTTTCTAGAATATTTTTAGTCTGCTATTTTATCAAGTTATTCTTTACTGTTGAGTTTTTTTCTCAAATAAGTTCATACAATAGAAAATTTTAAAGATATCTTCAAAAACTTTCAACTAGTCCTGCTATTGAATAGGAAAACAGTAACACTAATCTCAACCACCGTCTCCAATCTAAACATCGGTTGATCCTTCCGCTGATAGGAACTTACTGAGAAAAGCTGTCCTTGCAATATATTGTAGAATACAAAAAAAAATTTAATAAATAAATTTACATAGTGAACTTCTTTTTCGTCTAAACAGACTACATATTTTTGAGCATAATGATCGCCAATATGATACCATTTAATAAGTACATTAAATGTTGAATATTCGTCTATGTAATCAAAACGTATAACTGGACTTAAAGTCAAAATTTGATCAGTAAAGGAAAAACGCTGAAAATAAATAAATATCAGATTTATTTTTTAAATTAAATAAGACATACACAAGACTCAGATTCTTTTCTGATTGTGTTCCAATTTTCATTGAGAGGTATTGCTTCAATTTTAATATCTATGTGCTTCTGTTGTTTTATCACATCGAAACCTGCTGCTGATATATACTGATAAGAACTATCGAATTCACCTCGCTTATGAGTATTAACGAATAACTATTGTCAAAGAAAATAAACATAGTAATTATATATTTTTCATGATCTTATTCGTTATTCTTGTTTTTATATACAAAATATTTACGGAAAATTTTGAAATAAGTCGTCGAGCTGATTCAGGTTCGATGTTGATAGTTGCATAAATTTTATTATCTGGAAACTCCGCGGCCTCACCATGAAAATCAATGCGCAAACTCTTCCATAGGTCTTCGTTTTCCTATATTCAAATGGAAAATATTTATCAAAACTATTGTGAACATCTTACATTTTCATCTATTGGTTCATAAAATGCACTATAACATAAAAAGAAGTTTTACGATCAGTCCGTTAATAATAGAAACAACTCATACCGTATTTGTTCTGTGAGTTCTTTATTACTCATTATCGACTTATTTTAGTTCAGATGAACTATAAACTTGAAAAGTAATTGCAGTAGGTATTTTAATGTAAGCTCAACGTGAAGTTTTTTTTATTTTTCTTCGATTTTTAGTCGAGTAAAATAATCTGTTTTTTCTTTTTTATAGGCAGTCTATCCAAATTGAAAATGCAAAAAAATAAATAGAACGTTTTTCTTTTCTTTTTCACCGACGTTTATTTTTCTTTCCTCTTGTCTGCTTAGTAACATGATTGTGTACAATGTTTCTTGCAAATAAATCTCAAAGAAAGAAATTCAAACAAAGTGAAGCAACAACGTGTAGAAGATCATATTTTAACTTTATCAAATAAGAATTCATTGAAAAAGTTTTTCGTTATAAACAATGAGTAGATCTCGTTCACCTAAATATCGTCAAGTATAAATGAATTATGATTTAGTTAAACTCTAAAATAAATTTTCTTTATTTAATTTAGTCTAGACGAGAACATTCTCCGGATGATATGATTGATCAATTGAATATTCGTTCTCGAACTTGTTATTCATTTGCTCCATCACAACGGAAGGAGTATATATTGTAATGAACATTTCAATAATACATTCGTTTTGTTTTAGTAATGGACACGAAGATAATTGTGAATGTAGACGCCCTCAGGACGAACATTCAGATAAAAACCAAATAGGAAATTCACGATGGACCATGGAATTAAATACTCGAGAAGAAATTAATGCTGAACACGGTCAACTTCCGAATGGTGCACAGGTATAATAAGATATTTATTTATTCTCTATCAGCTTTTCATTTTTATTGATTTAGTTTGTTCGATTAGCTTTGGATACACCGAAAGAAAAAGCTGAAAAAATTCTTCTCCATGCTTGGAAACTTCCAGAACCTTCATTTATTGTGTCAGTTGTTGGTGGTGCAAAACATTTTAAAATGACTGATCAACTTGAAACAAATTTTATAAATGGTCTTATTGATCTAGTTAACAAATCAGGTACGTAATGAAACAATTCTTTCATTATCACAGATGATTATTATGATGCTTTTTAGATGCATGGCTAGTTACAAATGGATATGCTACTGGTATAGTACGACTGGTTGGAGAAGCAATTCATCAATTTGAATTATCAAGATTCAATGAAAATCCCATCACTGCTATTGGTATTTGTAAATGGGGTTGTATAATGGATGTAGACAAAATAACGCTTCCAATGGATGAAGAAACACAGCAGGTTTTATTTAAACACAAAAAATATTAAGTAATATAGTTAAGATTAATTTTACAGATAACTACTCATACATTGGATGTTACTCCCAATAATAGATTAAAACAACGTCGTTCTGGTGAATGGGATCTTGAAATGCATCATAGTCATTATCTTATGTTAGATGATGGTACTACTCGCAACTATGATACACAACATTATCGAACACATCTAGTCACTCATATGGCAAAAATAAACAATGAACATGATTTTTTCGGTATGTATATCTTTTTCTAAGAAGTTTTACATAGACGATTCGTCTAAAGGTTATGATCACATTTTACATAGCTACGATGCTATTATTAATCGAGTTTAATCTAATAGCTTTTTATTTGAAAAATGACACTTAAAAGTTTTCATTCTTAAAGACAAAGTTTATAACTATGCCGTGAATATTATTATTCTTGGATTGCCATATCAAAAATATTTGGCAGTTTTCTAACGTCATAAGATAACATGTAACGTTCGGTTTTGTCTATATTTATTTCAATTCATATTATTACTATGAACTTTAGGAGTATCCCCCTTCCCATCCTACCTTCTTTCCGAACGTCTAAAGGAAAATTTTATTGGTTTTTTTGTTTTTCAATTGATCTATATATCTTACAATATTCGCTATAGATATGCAAAAAAACTGACTTCTTTTGATAGTATTCTGACCTTAAAAAAAAACAATTTTCGAGACATTTCTATCTAAAAAAAGCAGGTCCGATTTTTTAAAGATATTTTGTCTTTGCATTCGATCTATTTGTAGTTACCTAATTTTTAGTGTATGACCGTGTCACAATCGCATATCAAGATAAGTGAAACATTTTTCGACTTCAGTTGGAGATAGCTGATCGAGTTTATTTGAAACATGGTCCATGTAAAGAAATCAAACATTTTTGACTTCAGCCGTATTTTTAGTAGTGTGTGTTATTTTTTTTATTTTCAAGGCTATTCGTGATCGTTGGTTGAGCAGTCAATGTCATTAGTACAATGTAGTCTCAAATTTTAATTCTTTTGTTGACTATTTCATTTATTTCCTTTTTCCAGTTAGTAATAAAAGAGAGAAAATAGTCAAGAAGATGTATATTATTCATGCGCATCGGGTAACCGGAATCTCGTAGGCATAAAAAAAGTACTCGCCAAACATGGAAAACTAGCTGATTGAATGCGCAATGATCCAAAACTTGATCAACGTCAAAAAACAAAACAAAAGATTCATATTCAGGAGATAATCGAAATTCAATTTTACTTTGTGTTTCTTAAAGTCTAATTTTACGCAAAAAAAAAGTACTGTTTCGTCTCCATTTATGGTAAGAAGGATAGAGCTGAACATTTTTCATATATGTTCGTCATCATTTCGCGCGAGTGTTTCTCTCTATTTCAAGAATTGTTGCTCCATTGATTTCTGGCAGCTTTCACAAAATTTCTTCTAGTAGAAAGAAGCAAGCGTTTTTTAGGGGCATCCGGTATTTTGACTTTTTTCTTGACAGAACAAACAATATATAGAAACAAAAAACAATTCTCAACCCAAATAGTTTTTGATACCTGTTAAAAAATTTCCTACTGGATCTAACGCAATATGGTGGAGAACTGCGAGCGAAAAAAAGAGTTCTTTTGACCCATTATGAGTTTAATATCTGATAGGAAACAACATTTGAATACGTCGGATCTAGCACAACTTTTGTTCTATTGTTCATGATGGATCTGAATAGTTTTTCTCACTATTGCTTCATGAACATACATTGTTATATGTTCTTTTGAAAAGAATGCAACAATGTCAAGTCTTATGACAGCTGAGATCAGGCAATGACCTGGTACCTTCATATTATTAGTTACCAAAGTGTTCTCCTTGAGAGTAATAAATTGTTTCTGTATAACATCTGAGTACATCGATTTTTCTGAAAATTATCAAACAGGTGTTGAATACGCAACACAGCAACATGCCAATGGTTTTAAGTTTATAATAATGATATAAATGGAAGTAAATATAGAAGAAAAAAAACAAAAAGACTCTAACTTCTCCTTTCTGCAGTACGGACATTAAAGTTTATGATGTGTTTTTGCCTAAAAGAATCCTTTAGCAATGAACAAAGGAATTGGTTGTCAGTTATATCAACTCTGCCAACAATCTGGAGTCTTCCAAAGCGTGTCTACAATATGTTTTCTAAAGGTACTGACAAGTAAAGGTTTTTTTATGTTTGACATAGTTAAATAATTCTCTGAAGGAAGAACTGCATCTTGCATGCAGCAAGTAGAAAAAAGTTAAAATTAAGAACGAGCTTTAGCGTTTGCCATAGATCAACTCGAGTGTTTTAGGTTTCATCGCCAAACACGATATAGTCTATCGAAGCATAATATGCAACTCAACATATACTTATAGTGAACTATCACGTTATTGTAATAAAAAAACAGAAGAAGGAAAGAATAATAACTGAAAAAAATTGCAATAAAATAACAGCGAACAATCGCTTAGCACATAGCAACAAAATAGAGAGACGCAAAGTGAATAATAGGAAAAAAATCACATCAAAATGCAAAAATGAAACTAGCAGAACGTTTTTCTCAAGGTCAATGAACCATTCGGAAATAATTATTATTTATTAATAATTGATCCAATTATATATGTATTTTATATTTGTATAATATAGTTGAACAAGAAATAAGAAATAGATAGTTCATCAGTCGTTCAGTTCTCAGTGTAGTCGGTTGCTCGCAATTGAAATTTGCAAGGTTCTGCTGTTAAAATCAAATCTTGATAAGACTGCTACAATTGATACGCTAAAATAAATACGAAATAAATCATTGATGATTTGTTTTTTTTATATCTAGTACCTGTGGTTACTATTATGGTTGAAGGTGGTCTAGATTCAATAGAAAATATATATTATGATTTAAGATCCAATATTCCTGTTATTATTATTGATGTAAGAAAATCGAATTAATTAACTATTATCCATTTCAAAATAGAATGTGCTCCACTGTTTTTTGAATAACTTGAGAACGCAGGCAGCTAGAAATCTGCGGTTTTCGCCAATCGAAAGAGAAGACGAGAGCACGTATTTTTCTCCAATATTGCATACGACGAAATCCTTTTAAAACTCATTATCTTTGAGAAACATGCAAAAGAATGCATGAAAGTGACCTGCCATCTAAATGAAATTTTGATTTTGACCTTCGAGTTAGATAGAGGAACTTGAGATCTATAGTTCAAAATACAATGGAAATGGTTCTCTTATTGCATTCTAAAGTTGAGCAAATGGAATCATGTATTTACATGCGCAAACCATAGAGAATTTTGCTGATTTTTTACTAAATTTTTGCACTTTTTCTCGTAATAGCTGGACATTTCGATGAAAACGTAAAGAAAAGTAGGAAAGTGCATTGTATCTTGAACTATAGATCTCAAGTTCCTCTATCTAAATCGAAGGTCGAAATCAAAATTCCATTTAGATGGCAGGACAATTTCATGCATTCTTTTGCATGTTTCTCAAAGATAATGAGTTTTAAAAGGATTTCGTCGTATGCAATATTGGAGAAAAATACGTGCCCTCGTCTTCTCTTTCGATTGGCGAAAACCGCAGACTTCTAGCTGCTTGCGTTCTCAAGTTATTCAAAAAACAGTGGAGCACATTCTATTTTGAAATGGATAATAGTGTCTTATTGATTAATATATTGAAATAAATAGGGTAGTGGTCGTGCTGCTGATTTTTTTACTCGTTGGTTACTATGGACGAAGGATCTTGATAATGATGTTGAAAATCAAGATATCGTCTGTCAAATTGAAGAACTGGATGATGAAGATGACATAAAACAATGTCAGGACATGAGAACTAACAACACAAATCCAGCTGTATCACCCCAATTGAACGTCGAGTAATATCAATTCCCAGATTATGCTCTTTTTTTTTCTTATTTCAAATTTCTATATTTAATAGTAAGAGCGGTTCTAATAAAAGTCATATTAATTCTGAAAGTAAAAAGTAAATCTACAAATCAATTATTCGTCTTTTCTTCGTATTATTTATCTTTTTTTTTCTCCAAGACTTGCAGGAATATTTCTCAAATATAGTGATCAATTAAAAAACGACATGAAGGAAACCTTTTTTCAGAAAAAAAAAGGAGACCAAGAGGAAAATATTAATAAAATAGTTACTAAAGTTATGTATTGTCTACAACCAGCTGTTCGTTTTCATTTAACTGTATTCAATTTAAATTCCGACACTGATTTATCAGAAACAATTTTCCGCAGTATTTGTCGCTGTAAGTAAATAAATTTCTAATAAACTTTTTGTTTTCTTTGATTTCGGACGTTTTTTTAAGCACGTCAAAGATTCATAAAAATGAAAGAACAAGAAACTAATGAGACACTGGAAATGCGTAGAAGAAGATTAGCAAAATTAAATTCTGGCAAACAAAGAACTGATGATCTAGCAGATCGTTCTAAGATTATGAAAAAGGATCAAGTTGCAGAACAAACAAGACTACTTGATTTAGCAATGAAATGGGATTGTATTACCGTTGCAAGAGAATTTATATTTCAAAACTCATTAGATAATATTTTGGTATTCATATTTATCTCAGTATTTTTTATCTATTATACTATTAATATCTTTTTTTTTTAGGGAAAAGATAAATATTTTATAAAAGCTTTGAAAGAAAATTTACCAAACTTTGTCTATGAATTTCTTAAATTAGGAATTGATCCAGCTAATGTATTCTTTTCAAAAAAACGACATTCAGAAACAAAATCTCGATATGCCAGATTTATCAAAGAGCTTTATGATAATAAGTTAATGGTATGAAATTTATTCCAGAAAAAATAATTATTCATTTTTACAGATAATATATGACTCGTTCTTCTAGGATATCGGTAAAACTCATTTAAAAAAATTTATTCAAATTAGTAAGCATGATACTAGCAGAATAATTAATGATGTTGAATCACTTAATTTGCTTCTGAAGCATCTTATTGGTGCTTATATGTATGAACTTTATTTTGACACACTAGAAGACGAACACAATTATCAAAAAAAATGGGGATTAATAGAGGATTCTGGAACATTAAAGCAAGATGAAAATGAAAATACTATAAACGAAACACATTTATTACTGAAGCCAGAAGAAAAAAAAGACTATAAATATATAATGCGTGATTTATTTTTATGGGCTGTTCTTATGAATCGTATTGAGATGGCCAAAGTTTTTTTATCTTTTATGAAAAATCGAATCTGTCCAGCATTGATTGCAACAAAAATTTTAAAACAATATCATTCAGTAGCAACCTATGGTGATTTAAAAAAGGCTTATATAAAGGATGCAACATATTTTGAAAAATATGCCATTACTTGTCTAGATAAATGTCATGATCATGATGTTCATAAATCATGCGAAATAATTTTACGACAAAATGAACTTTACGGATATGTTACTTGTCTTCAAGTATGTTTGATAGTATTTTTCTAATTCTTATTAAAAAAATGAATTTCTTAACTATATGTAAAGATAGCTTCTGACGCGCAAGATAAATTATTTATTGCAGAACCAGCTAGTATAGAAGCTATGAATAATATTTGGTATGATAAACTTCATCCGGAACAAGCAAGTTATCGTCATCGATTGGCTTTGTTTTTTGGAATTGTTTCACTTGGCCTTTTGGCTCCTGTATTTGTTAAATACAGAGAAAGCAAAGAGGTCAGAATTAACCTTTATTAAAAGTCAAAAATACAACCTCTTTTTTTTATGAAACATTTCTGCGTCGCCATTGAAACTTTTTTCAGTAAAGTAGATCAAAATTTCTTCTTTCAAAGAAGATATTTTGATTAATGTAAACGTTCGCATATCTCTTTAAATGCATGTTTTTTACGCGAATTACTAGTATTTTTCGTTGATCTTTACCCCGGTCACACATGGTAAAATGCAAATTCGACAGAAGAAGCACTAACTATATTTTATCTAAGTGACATTAAAAAACTCGTCTTCTCGCATATTTAAATTTCAGGTGAGGATCTTATAAAAAATGCTGAACATACTGTAGAATAAAAACTTTCCGCCGCCTAGGTGTCGACAATCTGAGAAAATTACAGTTCTTTTTTTATCAAAAGATCTTAGCCAATATTAGGCCTTCTCATGTACAGGAATATAAAAGACGTTGCATCTGTACACGTATTAGTTGTAGAATATGTTATATTTAGAGTCTTCAATACATCAAGTATAGAAAAATTTATAGGTTTAAAAGACGTTTATTGAATAATCTAGAATTGATGTTAATAAATGATACTTACATAATGAAATTAATAATAAATCCGAACAAACTTGAGAGTTATTATTTGCTTATGTTTCGAATACATTTCTCATAATTATTTTTTATAAATGTTAGGCACGAAAAAGAAAGGAAGCTGTATCAGAAAAGTAAGTCCATAAAGTCCTAAAATGATTAACATTGATAACCATTAAAATTTCTTATTTAGGTTTCGAGATAATGGTATTAATTATGGTGATCCTAAACTGCTGGAATATCCACTCATTCTTAGATCACAAACAGATAGTGCACCCATTCTTTACCTGCGGAAACTGGCCAAATTTCATCGCTCGTTACCTATGAAATTTTGTTATCATGTGGTATGTACACACATAATGATCGGCTATATATATATAGAAGAATAAAAATCAATTCATTTTAGATAACCTATATTTTCTTTCTTTTACTTTTCTCGTATTTTCTTCTGTTCAATTTCTCACCACCAAAATCTCAAAGTCCCTCAATACATTGGACTGAAATATTAACAATTATTCTTGTTTCATGTATTTTAATAGAAGAAATTCATTATGTATGTGATAATCTGTTAAAATACAACTATTTTCTATTGATTTCTTTCATTTCTCTTATTTCAGTTTTTCACTCAAGACAGTTTAACCTTTGAAGGAAAATTAGAAAGTTACAGGCGTGATTATTTTAAGCCCATGACAATACTTGCAATTATTCTTTTCTACATTGGTTTAATTCTAAGATTTGCGAATGCAGGTTCCGAAGATAAATTTATGGCAGCCAGGTTTGTTTATTGAACTTTTTTTTTTAAAGAAAGCACAATATTGTTATCTTTCATCTGGATCGGCGGAACAGCACTGAGTTTTAATAATTTCTCTATAATACAGCATAGAAATTCAATGTATCTTAGGCAAAATAAATCGTGATCATATAAGATATATTTGTTTTTCTTTTCTTGAAATTAAATTAATTATCAATTCATTGATATAAACATATTTGTAGTATCCTAGTGTTTACAAAAGAAAAAAAATGCAAACTCTACTTGAGCATTCATTTCTAATGTTGTTTTTCCACACATTGATGATCCTGTGCATTGAGATTTGAGAACAATTCACTTATACATATTGGTATCTAAATGTTTTGTATTTAATCGTATCTGAACACGTTTTTTTAACTCTTATATTCATTAGAATTGTGATGGCTATCGATCTCGAAATTTGGTGGCTTCGTTGTTTATCATTCATTATTGTTATACCATATCTTGGACCACATCTGGTAGCTATTTGGAAAATGGTATCAAATAAATACTTTCAAATGTCTTTGTTTTATTTAAACTTGTTTTGTTTGTTTTTTGTTTTTATAGATTCAAGATCTTTTATTTTTTATGGTTATTATTGCAGTAGTGATGATTGGTTATGGTGTTGCATCTCGTTCAATGGTTTATTATCCAAGAGCGAACAATTTTACAATGGAAACAGGTGGTTCTATAGATAATAGTTTTGATGGTAGAAGTGTTTTTCGTCATATTATATATCCTGTCTATTATTTCTTATACGGAGATTTTGGTGACGAATTAACGAATCTTGATAGTATGTATATTTAAATGATTATTATATTTTATAGATTGCTTTTCACTTTGGAAAAGGTAACCCGGAGGCTGGATGGTCAATTGCAGATCATGTATTACTTGCTATTCATATGATATTTGTGAATATTTTATTAACTAATTTACTTATAGCCATGTTTACGTAAGATTCTCTAATTGATTAATTTTGTTTTTGGAATCATATTTTGTTTTTTATCTAAAAGTAAACGATTTGACAAAGTCTATGAAGATACACGAAATATTTGGCATTCACAACAATATTTATTTACGCGTGAATACTTCTCACGTTCACCATTTTTACCACCAATAAGTCTTTTGTATGATATTTATTATTTGGCTCGTATGTTTTTCTTCTATATAAGACGAAAACATTTTCAAAAATCAGCAGATCGAGATTCTCGCGTATTCAGTAAGAATAAAAAACAAAGGAAAATTTAAAATATGTCTTAATACATGTCTTGTAGAAATTATTTCCAAAAAGAAGCACACTATAAAAGAATGGAATGATTTTGAAGATGCATTCACATCTGAATATGCTCACGACGAAGTAAAAGCCTTGAACAATGCATCTATAAAGTAAAACGAACCAAACGAAAGTTTTTTTCATTATTAATACTAAAATAAATTTAGATCAAAATCTGGATCGGATTCAGATAATAAAGAGAACAAAGACGATATGATGAAAGATCATAGTGGTTTAACTGATGCTAACAATAATCTGAAACAAGTACAAAATGATTTAAACAAGTTGAAAGTGCTTGTTGAAGGACTGAACAAAGAATTGAATGACGAAATTGAAGTAAAATATTTCATCGTCCGATAAGACATTAAAAACTAAATGAATTGTTTTCTGTTTAGAAAAAAATTAGTCAAAACGGAGATCCAACTAATCCATGAACTTGAAATATTATTATTATTTGTTTATCTAACTGCTGTATTTTTCCCTTCGGTGTGATCTTTGATACAAAGTTTATTCAAGCTCTTGCATTATGACCTCATTTTTGTATTGATGCTTTCTTTTTATTCTTCTCATTTTTTTCACGTAGATAATCTGGAAAGTTGAATTTTCGAAGCTTGTGATGAATAAAACATTCGATTGAAACCATATTAATGTGCTGCAACAGTTCTTGGATAAATATCTGATTCAGCTATATTCGAGCAAAATTTATAGGAAGCTCACTTTTATCTTTTGATTTTACAAAGTATAATTGCTATTTTAAAATGAAGTATTTCGCTGACTGCTTGCTATGCCATAGTGAAAAAGTCGCTTTGGGTTTCTTCAAAACATGTACCATACACACTGTAAATTTCTTCGAATTAACTATTGCTTTGTCGGAAAAAAATGAATAGCTCGATTAAGATGTTACATTCTAGAGTAACTTTTAACTGTTTACGATTGAATGTTGCCGTTTGGCAATACCCGACAATAAAGAAACAAAAAGAATTTTCAAATCACCTTTCGTTTGCGATTGCCAATGTATTCTGTCATATTCTTACGGTAACATATATATATATATTACTAGGCAAGGAAAATCCATTTCCTCATTAATAAGAAGACACTTTCTACATTTCATTCGAGATATAGATGCTTCCAGGTACATTGTCCAAGATTTATATCGACTTTTTTCTGCCGAGATGTAAGCATACTAATGTTGTAGCTCTTGTCAATTCGTGTAGAAACTGATATCGAGATATCATTTTAATCATGCACTTTCTGCAGCAGAACAGATTCAAAAGTCTATTTTCAAAAGTATCTTTCGAAATCTATCTGTTTTATTCTTAATGGAGGTTCTTTTGAAGATTCGATTTAACCGTTGGACACAGCATAAAAATTTGCGCATATAGAATAATTTTCAAAATTAGAACTCTAGAATGCATTGTTTGGAAGGGTTTGTAAATTTCGAAAAAGAGAGACTTTGTGCTACAGTTGAACTGTCTATGAATGTTCTACTTGCAGTTAAAAAAGTCATACACATTATAATCAAAACGAAGCTTATACTATTCTTATTCAGAAGATATGTGCCGGTTTTTTTAAAGTGTTCTTCATTCTAGATATATTAATTTCAACGTTTCAGGAGTCAGAAACAATCTCATATCGGAATGTGAATCCCTCAATAACTAAATGTCAGAATTTCTTGAAACTTTTTTCTGAATAAATCTCGGTGACTACTACTAGTGATTAAAATAAAATAAAACCAGAACAAAGACTGTTCAAATCAAGTAATTCTAATTTTTCCTTATGCATATGAGACTTAATAATATGAGATGAAGTTTGTTCAATCCTTGCACACATTGTAAATTTCTTTTTTCAAATTATACAATTGAAGAATCGTTCAGCATTGGTTGTAGTCACGGATATTGCTATATATCATCATAACAGTTTACTGTATACAGAAAACATAGTTTTACCAACTTGTTATGTATTTAAAAGATGATATATGAATTGATTTTGTAACAAAACGTCATTTGTTCAAAGAACAAGAAAATTACATAATATTAGACAATTTTTACATTTAATAGTCTATCCATGCCTCGTGATTCCACAATCTATGATCGTCAGTTATTTCAAAATGAAAAACAAAAGAATACAGTAGTTCGACCTATCAAAGCTAGTAAATTATAAACAAAATAATTAAGAACTTACAAAAAGTATTCCTTTCATAATTTGTTATCATTCTTTTAAATTGTTTAGAAACGTATGATTTAATTACTTCAGAAACAAATGGTAACATATTAACTGTAACTGTTAAGATAATTCCAATGATCGAAAGTGTTTAATATTTAGTAATCAACATATAAATCATTATATAAAAACTAATCTTTGATTAAAATAATTTAGATGACTGCTTACTTTTCACAAAAAAGAAATTACATTTCACTTATATTCCTTAGATACATTACATCACATCCAAATTCTCAACACAAATACTGTAACAGAAAGTCATTTTCACATTTATAAAAGCTTTATTTTTAGTTCTAAAACAAAACTGTTCTGTATACAATTCATTATTACTTATTGAGAAGATTTCGAGGCAACAACATCGTCGTCATCATTATGATCCTTGTTTTGTTTTTTACATTTAAAATCATTGCCATTATTACGCATATCTATATTGTCATATGCATCTCTTCGACCTCGAACGCATTTATCTCCACAACAACTTGTTGTTGTTTCACGTCGAAATGATGATAATGGTTCGTTGACTTTTATTTCAAAATAATGTTGTATTCCAGGAAAATGTTCATGTGGGCCTTGACAACTGCATGAAAGGTTTGTACATGTTACATCAGATCTTTGATTAGGTTTCATCTGAGACTGTAATGATTCAGACGGTTTATTTTTGGGTTGATTAGATTCTGCTTGTGATAATGTTTCTTCGTCTTCGTCATCGTCTTCTTCTTGTTTTGTTCTTCCTTCAGAAATAATATCGAAAAATAAATTGAGTAAATACATAGCAACAGAAAAAAATGTAAAAAAAAATAAAAACAAACCTTTTAATTCAGTAACAGTTATAACTTGAGTAATCAGCTGCTTTGTATTAGGAACAGTAAATTTAATAGGATCTGATCGATATTCTTTTTTGCCATCTTTAAAAGTAAAAATAGTACAAATATCATCATAATAGGAAGAAAACATTAATAGCTTACCCTTAAATCTTGCTATGATATGAATAGTATGCTCAAGAGACTTGTCATCAGGTTCAAAACTATCAATACAAACTGTATATATATCAGCTATTGAAGGATCACGTATCTACATGATACATTAATAAAGAAATATATGTTTATATTCATTCTTTAATCCTACGTATTGAACTTCTTTATCATCTAATTCAACAACATATTGTTTAACTGCTGGATCACCAATATGATGCCATCGAATATTAAGATTAGGTTTTGAAGCTGAATCTGGCCATACAATGTTTGCAGTTGGTGTTAAATAAGAAATTCTAGGTTTAATCGAAAACGACTAGTAATTATAAATAAATTTTTTTACAAAAACACTCTTTCAATGAGAGATATAGCATACTTGAGTGTTGGAGGTTTTTGACATTAAACCTGAACTTAGGGGCTCAGCCTCAATACTTATTGATATATTTTGTTTTGTTGGATCAAAACCAGATGCTGATATACGTCGATATTCCCTACCAAATGTAGTTACCTTCGAACCATCAACAACTAACTGTAAGCAAAAAAATACTAATAAAATATGTCTTTTTCGTCGATTGAAAAATATATTTTTTTACTTCGATCATTACTTTTATTTTTCAAAAGTTTCTTAGAATATCTTTTTTTTGCTAAAAACAAATACTTACTACAAATTTTTTAACGAGTTTTCTGGCAGTATCAGGAGTAACTTCGATGGTACCAGAAATTTTATTATGTGTAAATACCGATTTGCCAAGATGAAGCTTAACTTGAACATCATTCCATGATTGAACAAGTTTCTATCAAAAAAAAAATAAATAAAATAAAACTTATTATCGATTATAATTTTTATAAAAATTCACAACTTTTTCTGCTTCTGAAGTGTGTACACTAAAAACCAAACAACATAAAAGAATAATCTAGAATTTAAATCAAAACAAATGAAACATATCATACCTTGATTTATTTTCGATATTTTCACCAGACATATTTTGTTAATTATATTTGAAATAAATTATAAATTGAAAAAATAATACAACAAGCTTTTTGTAGATTAATATAGTATCAATATGTATGTGGTATTTTTCTTTCTTTTAAAAATAAATTTATTTTTTTCTGCGGAAAAAATCCTCATCTGAAAAATCTTTCAGAGAAAAAAAAGAACTACTTATAAAAAAAGAATACAATGACAAGAGCAAACATTTTCTGCTGTTTATGTTACTCAGTTAGTTGTTGATTTCTTCTGTCTTCCTTTTCGTTTCCATAGTAATTTAAGAATCAGTGTGTGGATGGTTGCTATATAACTCTCAAACATAAAAAATTTAAAAGAAATAGTAAACGCAATAGAGCACTTTATAATTCCAACTATAACTTAAAACATAACCATTTAGTGATAAGACCCAAAGTAAATGTCATCTCGAACTCGTTCTGTTCAACCTCAAGGAGAAGTAAATTATTATTTAATAAATTTGATTAGATTTTATTGTTTTCTTCTTCTTTTTAGTTTGAACATGAATCTTGGGAAAAATTCTACCAACTAAATATTAATTATCGAGTTTGCCGTTCTTTTTGTCCGAAACCGTCTGTCTTTTGTTTTAATTTTTTATTAAATTGAATATCTATTTGTTTTGTTCTTAATAGTGATGATCAAGAAACTTGTGAATGTAATCAAAGAAAAGCTTTTCATACAGACCTAACAGGCAAAAAAGAAAATAAATGGAAGATATCGAGTCATACTGAGCAAAAATTCAATGATAGATATTTTGGTACACTCTTTAATGACGCTTCAGTATGAAAAATCTACAAAATTCTTTTGTTTACCAACTATTGTTTATATTCATTTAGTATGTTCGTCTTGATATTGAGACACAACTAACAACAGTTACAAAGCTTCTTTTCGAAGTTTGGAAAATTCCAGAACCTAAGTTGATTATGTCAATTATTGGTGGCGCGAAATATTTTAAATTAAACGATCGGCTTGAATCAAATGTTATTAAGGGTATTATGAATGTTGCTTGTAAATCAAGTATATATATACACATATATAATGAATGAGATAAAATACTAGAATTTATATATGAAATAGATGTATGGATGATTACAACTGGATATAATGTTGGCATTGTTCAACTTCTGGGACAAGCAATTGGTAAAGTTAAATTAAAATATCCAAACCAAAAGATAACTGCTATTGGTATTGGTAAATGGGGAAGTATTAAAGATGTACAAAAATTAACAGGCAAAAACGAAAAAAAAACTCAGGTTTAATATATTTTCATATTAAAAATATTTATATTTATATGTAATGTTTTTCCAGAAAGGTAAAATTCCAATCGAACATTCAGATAATGAAGAAGCAGCTGATAAACTGAGAAAAGGCGAATGTGATCTTGAAAAAAACCATAGTCACTACTTGATGTTAGATGATGGAAGATATCGGCATTTTGACACGAGAGATTTTCGAACAAGATTATGTGAACACATGGCAAACCTAGACAAGAAGAATGGTTTTCACAGTATGTACATATTTTATCTAAATGGTTTCAAAGGAATAGTATTACGTAGATTGAGAAGTGAGGATCTTTTTTCCCTTGTAGTTTCCTAAAACAGATCCTATCCGATACTTAAGGTGTGCAAGGTAAACTTTTTTTTATATTCTGTATTATGACTGCGAAAAACTTTCTCACCCCTTTTCTACTCTACACAGTAAAAAAAAATGTATAATAATAAATCTTCACTATTCGTTTATTATCATTCCATAATCCTTTTCTGTTCACAAGTCTTGGCAAAAGTCTGTTACCAATTGAAAATTTATACATTCTTGTACTATTTTCTGTGTTCATAAACTTTTTTTTTCGGTAACTAAATAGAATAAACCCTTAAGTGAAGTATTTATCATTGCACGTTTTAAACAAAACCGTAGAATAATAAACAGCTCCTATGAAAATTTAGTCCTTTTTTACAACAAAAAAATAATTTATTAACACAGAAACCAGTACAATATGATACGAATTTGTAATGAGTCACAAATTCTTGCTAAGATTTATGAACAGAAAGAATTTATGAGACGGTGGATTATGCTCAAAGAGCTAAAACGGTGTATGTAGTGGTAATAAACAGATAGTGAGAGTTTATTATCCTACACTTTTTGTACACTATGCCCTGCATGCTTCTAATTAGTACTATAGTGTTCTTATTATGTCGTCACAAATTTTGACTTACTTGACCATTAGCATCTCAGACTAATATCCTTATCCTTGAAGCAGTTTTAGTTTTTGTTTGTTTTTCTATACCATTATTGTTATGCTTCACAATTAAAACATATTATTTACAAGCATACGATATAAAATAAGAAATTGCTCCATTTACAGTCTGATAACTGACTCAGGATACAATGATAATCTTATTTCTCTCTATTATTGTTTATAACTCATTCTTGGTTTTATCTATATTTAGCTCCTGTTGTCACTATCGTTGTTGATGGTGGTAGTGATACTATGGCAAATATATATTATGATTTAAAGCATAATATTCCTGTTGTTATTATTAATGTAAGTTAATGATATGAATTATTAATGTTTGGTTTTTAAATTATACACCAATTTTCTATACATAGGGTAGTGGTCGTATTGCTGATTTTTTGAGTCGTTGGTTATTGTATACAAAAAACTTCGAAAATGATTCTGAACACGGTAAAGTGGCATATGGAATCTATGAATTAAAAACAAAAGATGTTACACAAAAAGTTTCAAAAAATAGAAAAACACCAAAATCAAGAAACAGGTAGAAACAATTTAAAGATATTTCATTTTGATGATTATATTTTTACAGAACTGATATACATGCTGAACTTCATGTTGATCCATCTGAAACAAAGTAAAAATATGTGAATCATTTATCTTTCAATCTTTTTTTATTGATTTCTTGTTTTTCTGTTTTCGTTGAAGACTTTGTAATCTATTTACTAAATATGAGAAAGAACTTAAAAATGATTTAGAAAGTGTTTTATCTCCTGATAATGATTCACATAAAAAAAACTCTTCAAAATCAGGCACCAGCAATAATCATTCTGATAAAAACCTAGAACGTACACTTAATCAAGTTATGTATTGTCTACAGCCAGCTGTTCGCTCTCAAATAACTGTATTTAACTTACATTCCGAAACTAATTTATCAGAAACAATTTTTGAAAGTATTTGTAAATGTAAGTTAATTATTTTCATATGTTTAAATTCTTGTCTAGGAATATAAGAGAAAAAAGTTCGCGGCTTTTTCTCTATCGATATATCTTTGCAACTACTTGAGAGATTTTAACAAATAAAGTCTTCTGTGTAAATTGTAGAGCTTTTCATTCTGCATCTTGTGGTATATTTTGTTTTTTTTTAATAAAATGTATTAGTTGATGAAAAGATGCAATGAATGATGCATGCAGAAAAAAATGATCTTTTCATAGCGTCGAAAATCAGTCGCACAGAATTTTGCTTTGTTTGAAAACAAAAAGTGCATAATTAAAATCAGCTTTATTTTATAGATTGTAGAGCTTTTCATGCTGCATCTTGTGACATACATTGTTTTTTTTTAAATAACGTATTAAGTGTTGAAAAGTTGAAATGCAAACTGCCACCGTTTAATTTGCCCCATCTATTGTGTTTTGAGCACCAAAAACCCATGTAACAAAACTTCCTTTATTGATGCTCTTACTTCTTGAGCTAGAACCTTTATTTTTTTGCACAATAAGTGTACTTTGAAATGCTCTTTAAAATGACTATTTATTTGTTGAAATTGCTCAAGTAGTTGCAAAGATATATCGATAGGAAAAATGCCGCGAACTTTTTTCCCATGCCTTATTTTGTGTTTTCATATTCTTTAGCATTTGAAAGCTCATCAAAAGACAGTACAAAGGAACAAAATAGTAAGTAAAATAACAATCAATTTAATTCTAATACAAAGCAAAAAATTTAACATTATAGAGCATACACCATTCCTTGACTTAGCAATGGAGTGGAATTGTATACATGTAGCTAAAGCATTTGTTTTCCAAAATTCATTAGATAACATATCGGTATTCATATTTATCTCATTTTTCTATTTATATATTGTTGATATTTTTGATTTTAGGATCCAGAAAAGGCTTTTCTAACTGCTTTAAAACAGGATTTACCAACATTTGTATATGAATTTCTCAAATTAGGAATTCAGCCAGCTAAAATATTCTTTCCATCAAACCAATTTTTTTTAATAGAAGGTAATCGATATGCCACGTTCATTCAAGAACTTTACAACGATAATAATGATTATATGGTATGAGATTTAGTTAGAAAAAGTTTTTCATCTTTTTTACAGATAATATATATATATGATTTGTTTTCCTAGGCTACCGATAAAACTCATTTTAAATATTTTATCGAACATCGTGGAGTTGTAGGTAACAAAAATATTGATTCGGTTGACTCACTTAATAGAGTTCTCGAAAATCTTATCGGTGATTATATGCATAAACTTTATTTTGAAACCGACGAACATGAAGAAAAAGATCGAATAAAATGGGGATTAATGCGAAGTTCTAAACAATCCAAAAAAGATAAAAATAAAGATATTGAAAATATTAAATATTCATCCACTGAACTAAAAAAACAACAACCAGACAGATATATAATGCGGGATTTATTTTTATGGGCTGTTCTAATGAATCGTATTGATATGGCTAAAGTTTTTTTATCCCAATTGAAATATCGAATATGTCCAGCATTGATTGCAACAAAAATTTTAAAACAATATTATTCGATAGCACATCACGGTGAACTAAAGACAGGTTATGGCGACAACCTTAACTATTTTGAAAAATATGCAATTGATTGTCTCAATAAATGTGATCATAATGCAGAACGAGCTTGTGAACTTGTTGTACAACAAAATGAACTTTATGGATATGTTAGTTGTCTTCAAGTATGTTTGATAATATTTTCTAACTCGTGAAAAAAAGCATCTAATATCTATTTAAAGGTTGCTTCTGATGCGCATGATAAATCATTTATTGCAGAACCAGCTTGTATACAAGGTATGAATAATATTTGGTTTGACAAACTTCATCCAGAACAAAAGACAATCATGCAAAAGTTAGCTTTGTTGGCTGGTGTTATTTCACTTGGTTTTTTGGCGCCTAGTGTTGTTACATTTCGGAACGTTGACAAGGTTCGAAGAAAAGTTCTTCTTTTAAATGAATGATAGATAGAATTGACTAATATTTAAGAAGTGAATAAAATAGATGAAATAGTCAGTACTTGTTTTATCAATATATTAATTAGAAAATAGCCAGTTTATTATATATAATTTAGTAGTAAATAAATTAAGATTTGGTCAGTGAAAAACTATAGATTCTATCAAAAGAGGGTTTTTGGTTATCCACATAAAATAGCATGTAAATGTAGGTCCGAATAGGATTTTCATTTCATTTACATTATTATGATCATTATGCTTAGCTGCAGTTTTATAAGCAGATACTGTTTTCACTGTCTGCATGATATAACAGATAAAAATACTTGTTCTACATTAAGATCTAAAACGCTTGACTTTGTTGCATCTGTGATAAACTGTTGTACCATTCATTTTCAATTAATGTTTCTGCTTTACTAACATTATCTAATGTAGGCTTCGTTAACCCAATATTTGATTTCTTTTTTTTTTATACTTTTATTTCATCATTTTTTTTTCGCAAGCTCTTAATCTAATATATCACTTTTATACTGAGCACCCTGTACTACGTTCATCTTTTTTTACTCGTAGACTTTAAGTTGAGATCGAAGGAAAGGATAGAGGCAAAAAATATCTGAATCTGTGTCATAGATTGCATCTGTAGTATATGATGGAAGGAAACCAAAAAAAGAAAATGAATCACACTAATGCATATTTCCAATGTTTATACTTAGTCATTAATTTAATTGACTAACGGGAAATTTAATTTACTGATGCTTAAATTTATTAACAAACCTGATTCATTACTAACGGACTATCTAAGTAACTTATTGACAAAAAATTGTGTTGTCGATATTTTTTGAGATCTAATTTATAAGAACAGATTTCGATCATGACTATTATAGATCACCTAACATATAAGAAACAGATTATTGTATAAATTCATGAAAAAAGAAGAAGTAATTCAGGAACTGATTGATTCTTAGAGTTCTTATTAATACTGAAAATCAAAGCAATAAAAAAAAGGATATTTTTGATAAAAATATTCTAGTTTTCAAAGTTGATATTATCGTGTAACTTGTGTTTGTTTGGACTTCAGAAAATTTAATAGATCTATATGAATCATGCAGTGTTTGTCATGCTATAGTAAAGACACAGGATTGATACTATTTAGTTTCTTAGTTTGAACAGAAATCTTATGATTATCTTTATTTTTACCAGGAGACAGTAATTGGTGAATCTCTTAAAGCGAAGTATGTATATGAGATATAACAATGCTTAATTATAAATTATTTCTATGATTTTTTTCAGGTTGGAACCATTTGGCATAAATTATTCTGACCCATATCCACTTGAATATCCTCGTTATTTTGAATTAACACCTACATTGAATACATATATACATCGATTTGAACATTTCCATTTATCGCCAATGATAAAATTTTGCTATCATTTGGTATGCCCATATATAATGATAAAATATATATTGAAGAATAAAAATCATTTTATTTTAGACAGCTCATTTTTTTTTTCTTTTACTCTTCTCCTATGTACTTTTGTTCAATTTTTCACCACCAAAAGCTCAAAGTCCATCAATACATTGGACTGAAATATTAACAATTATTCTTGTTTCATGTATGTTAATAGACGAATTTCATTATGTATGTATTATTTGTTAAAATATAACTATTTTCTATTGAATCTTTATTGCTATCTAATTTTAGTTTTTCACTCAAGACAATTTAACTTTTTCGGGAAAATTAAAACATTCTTTTCGTGATTTTTTCAAATCACTGACTACTCTCGCAATTATTCTTTTCTACATTGGATTGATTCTACGATTTACACATGCAGATTCCGAAGAAAAGTTTGTTGTAGCTAGGTTTGTTGATTTAATTATTCAAGATGACATAGAATATTATTATATATAGTTTGACTTTAGTTTTGAAAATTAAAGTCAATTAAATAAAACTTATTAGACTGAAGCTTTTCTTCTAAAAAATCGATCTTAGATCAGATACATTCAAATCATATAATATTTTCAGGGTATGGTGAAGCTGGGCCGGAATCTACGATAAAAGTTTTAGTTTAATATCATGACGTTTCAGGAAGATATTCAATAAAAAAAGGTCAAAAATAGCTCATTTGACAACCTCAAATTCTCTATGTATTCCATTTACATCATTTTTCGTTTGAAAACGCACATCTAATTTACAGATGTGAAGTATCAAATTGTTGTGTGCTCAGTTTCGATAACTTTTTCTACACATCGATCTCGGTCATAGGACCGCCAATTTTAGTTTTTTTGGGTGTCGGAATAGAGAAAACTATTTCAGAGTTTATTCGTGTCACATCTAAACTAATTCTCGGTGAATAACACTTTTTTTTAGGTCGTTTCTGTTGAATTACATTCCGATTTGTATGATTTATAAGATCATTGGTTTCAAACCATGAAGCATTTTCCTATAAACTTAAGTTTCGTTTCCGACAAATTCTTTTCTTGTGATCCCGATTCCACACATATGTAATCAGAATGTAGGACATGGCAGAGCCATTTTTTAAATTCTTGATGTCTAAGGGTAGAAAAAAAGATGAAAAATTCAATTTCTCCAAAAATCTGTCAAAAAATGGCGTTGTACCTATAAAACTAATCGTTTGTATTGTAGTAGCAAAGCTTAATTCAAAAAAGAGACCCTGAAATACTCTGTTCTTTCGAACATATAAAAGTGTGCAAAGAATTTTAGTTGTGTGATCAACATAACGTCAACAGAGAAGGAAAAGTGACAATCATTTCTCACGTTTTCTGAAAATAGCACATTTTTCAAGCAGAAAATGACAGAAATCGTCATAGTTTTTTGGAAAAAAGAGTCAGGTACCACACAAAAAGTGATGTCGTCTATGAAAGACCAAATCTCGAGCCATCTTCCATTTTGACAAAAATTGAACTATTATTTTTGAATCTGATCTTAACAGAATTTTATTTGTCGAAACGAATTTCAATTGGTTTTAGTCGTATCTTTCTTTTTCATAAAAGGCTTATAATGTTCACGAAATTCTTTTGTTATTTAGAGTAATTATGGCTTACGACATCGAGCTATGGTGGCTTCGTTGTCTATCATTCATTATTGTTGTACCATATCTTGGACCACATCTGGTAGCTATTTGGAAAATGGTATCAAATAAATACTTTCAAATGTCTTTGTTTTATTTAAACTTGTTTTGTTTGTTTTTTGTTTTTATAGATTCAAGATCTTTTATTTTTTATGGTTATTATTGCAGTAGTGATGATTGGTTATGGTGTTGCATCTCGTTCAATGGTTTATTATCCAAGAGCGAACAATTTTACAATGGAAACAGGTGGTTCTATAGATAATAGTTTTGATGGTAGAAGTGTTTTTCGTCATATTGCATATCCAGTTTATTATTTATTACACGGAGAAGTTGGTAACGAACGAACAAGTCTTGATAGTATGTATATTAAAGATGGCTATGATATTTTATAGATTGTTTTTTTCACTATTGAATAGGTAATCCGGATGCTGCTTGGTCAATTTCAAATCATATTTTGCTTGCTATTCATATGTTATTTGTTAATATTTTACTTACTAATCTGCTTATTGCAATGTTTAGGTAAAGTGATATATTTGGTCAATTTTATTTTTAAAATCATATTTTGATTGTTTTTTTCGAAAAGTAAACGATTTGACGAAGTTTATGAAGATATACAAAATATTTGGCAGTCACAAAAATATTTATTTACACGTGAATATTTCACACGTTCACCATTTTTACCACCAATAAATCTTATTTATGATATTTATTATTTATCGCGTATGTTCGTCTTTTTTATAAGACGAACATTTTTTGACCAACCAGGAGATCATCATGCTAAAGTATTCAGTAAGAATGACAGAATATTTACATACTTCAGGATGTTTTTATTATTTTTGTTAATATTTTTTTTTCTAGAAATGATTGCAAAAAACAAACCTCTTCTAGAAGAATGGCGTGAATTTGAAGGTGCAGCAACATATCAATATGCTCATGATCAAGTAAAAGCATTGAAAGATGCATCAACACGGTAAATTTGAAAATAAAACAAACTGTTTTAAATGAAACATTTTTTTTCTAGGTTATCAGAGGGATCAGATTCGTCTAGTAGAAAAAAAAAAGAGGATCCAATGAATAAAGATAATGTGTTAAGTGATACTATGGACAATATAAAAGAAGTACAAGAGAATATAAAAAATTTAAGTTCAACACTTGATGGAATGAGACCACGAATTATGAATTTAATTTCGTAAAAGATTTTATTGTTTAGTCTTCAGTCTTATATATAATATATATTTCTTTTGATAGAGAGTCCAATAATAATAATATCAACAAAGATGTTTAATAGTCGAAGAATACAAGAAAAAAAAATTTAACTTTGAATATTTTAATAATTGCAGGTTTCTTTTTTTTCATCATGATTTATTAAAGTTTTTATTAGTGATCATTTATTGTGATGTCGATTTTAGTATTGCCGTTCATTTGTGTGCTGTGCGGTTATATTTATTCCTTGCATATACATTATCTGAAGTGTATACTTTTTATTTTTAGAAACTTGATCTTGATGTCAGTTTCATTTTTCCTAATGATTCTTGTCGTGATCTTATATATTTTCATAGTTACAATAAAAATAAATAAATATTTTCAATGAAATCCTAATTGAACATATGCCAATTTTATTCAATGCTATTCATAAAGGAGAAAATTTTCATAAATAACTTGGTAGAATGAAGTAACAGGTTGGTTTTGATTAGTTTTATTATGTATATAATCATAAAAATTTGTACATTCAAATCATAGCAGAGATTATGATAAAATCTATTGTTTTTCAGTTTTGTCAGTAGTTATAATTTGTAATGATGATTTATTACTTCTAAGAGCAAGAGTTTTTTGATAATAAATAATTATTAAAGAAGATCCTTGTCTTAACAATCTATTTTGGCGTAGTGCATGAGTGTCACTATACTTTAAGGTACGCAGTCTGAAATCCTTTTTTTTGGAGAAGATTTGTTTATCGTTTATAATTGGAAGAAAAATATTGTTTTATTGCTGCTGTATTTAATTTTCGCTAGTGTCAAAACTTCTCGAATCTTAAAATACCAAAAACCGGTTTTTTACAGAACTATAGACTCATTATAAAATTCATTCGTCTCAACCGAAGAATTATGAAGTGCCCATGAGATACAAGAAGAGCAATTCTCTAGAACATGCACAAAAATCTCTTCCAAGAAAATTACAAAAACTTTTTTCTATTTGTTGTCTATCGATCATTCTAGATACAAACTGAGAAGCTTCTAAATAGCAGACTTCAAGTCCACTTTTCACTTTAATACTAAACAGAAGGTGTAGCCTACCAGGTAGGTTCTGACAACAACTGACTTCAGTTCCAAACACTTTTCATCCAATGTCTTCTACCAGTGGTGTTGACAAGTCAGCCTCAATTGAGTAAATAGTTTGTTAGCATCTTCCTAAAGTAAATTGTGCTGGTGAAATATATCAATTACGTTTATACTTATATCACCTATGATATCGTCAGTTTCATTTACGTTTTTCTCTCCCACACGATGTGAGATAGAATTTCGTAGTAGAAAACTGACATTAACCAAAATATAAGTACTAATCATTATTTAAATAATATTAAATGTCAGTTTTAGACTTAAATATTTTTCTAAAAGTAAAATCAGGTATATCATGAAAATGTTTCAGATTTAGAGCTAAGCCATCTACAAAACCTCTATTTTCGTCAAGAAGGAATGATTTTTGAGATCAACATTCAAAGATATGATGTAAGGATGTAAAAATCTTGTCCAGCTAACGATCAATTAGAATGATCAAAATAGAATTTCAATATTCTCGACAGTTAATAGTGTCATGTGGTAGATTATACATTGCTTCATCAAAAAAGGAAATTTATTTGGTACTTTTCCATGACAAAGAAAAAAGTCACATGAGAAACAAGAAGAATACGTATTTTAAATTTTATCATCGCTTCTGTGCCATGGAACGAAATGTTTTAAAAATATAGAATCAGAATTAACCATGGAGATACTATAGATATTCTGAATCGACAAAATGGCGATTTTTTTCTAATATAATTTCTATCGGCTTCATAACTGGAAAGTTGAAACCAAGAGCAGTTGAAAACTATCAAATTCATAGTGAGTACGTTACCAAAAAGAGCTTTTTATTACAATTTACTCCTGAACTACATTAGTATTTTAAGCTCCACCTACTAATTTCGGCTGATCTTTTATGAGTTATTTAATAACAGAGTTGGTTCTATATATCTCCTTTTGCTGATGCAAAACAAGAGTAACACACTCACAGAAGCTACCTATTACCAAATAATAATCCTAAAATATTAGGTTTAATAAGCTCAATTAATTCCATAGCACAAGGTTTTCAATATATTATCCAGCATTATCACCCGATAGAGATTTCGTTTTTTAATTAGGCGCACAGCTACGAACATAATTTTTTTCTATTTATATAAAAACTCATATTTTCGTTTGCATTAACAAAACATAGCACGTAGCTGCCGTTGTTTTTACTAGATCGAGTATGGATTCTCAGTACTCACCTTGTAATGTATGAATAAGAGACTTTTTCTTCGTCAAGATCGAATATAAATTTTGAAAGTATCTTTATGAATAAGCGAAGTAAGGTCTCAAAATTGTGATGTATTACCTTGCAACAAAACGCAGATATTTTTCTACTACAGCACACACATAAAATGTAAACATGATCCATTGTTTTCCAGTTCGAAAATGACTCAAAAAAAAAAAACTTCACAACATGATATATTTCGAGTTTATATATCATGTATCAACCATGGAAAATTCGAAGACAAATAAACATCGATATAAATTACTAATCAAAAACCATAATCTTAAAAGATTCTTTCATTGTTTCGGTCAAAGCTTGCTTAGACAAACTAAATTGCAATTGAAAACATTGACGAACTCCATATCATTATAAATTACGCATGAATAATGTCATCCCTTATATTTAGTCATTTCAACAAATAGTAAACTCAAAAAGTATATTTACCTTGTGATATTTTTAACTCTGAGTATTGTTATTGCGAAATTACAGTGACAACGTTATTTCGCAATTTCTTTCAAACGTAAAATTGCTTTCTTTCGCAATTACATACCAAGAATATATTTAGTATAAAAGGTAATTCATACTTCATAAAGTCTCTATCTTTTCACATTCTATGCTAATACGAAGGTAGTATTTCATTCTACTTATCTATCTATTTCTCTGATCTTACATCACATATCACAAACTCACCGTTTATTATGTCGAGACAACGAACTGAAGCTGTGGCTGAAACAATGTCAAAGTCACACAATATTCGTAATATGTGTGTCATTGCACATGTTGATCATGGTAAATCGACATTAACTGATGCATTAGTTTATAAGGCTGGTATTATTACTGAGCAACAAGCTGGCGAACGTCGATTTACTGATACATTGGAAGCCGAAAAAGAAAAGGGTATTACAATTAAATCATCATCTGTTAGTATGTTCTATGAATTGGATGATCAAATTCTCGGTTCGTACACTTAAAAAGAATTAAATTAATATGAAAAAAAAAACGAAATAAATATTTGACTTTTTTTAAATAGGTGATCTCAAACGGGACGGTAATGGATTTCTAGTCAATCTTATTGATTCTCCAGGTCATGTTGATTTTTCATCAGAGGTTACTGCTGCATTACGTGTAACTGATGGTGCATTACTTGTAGTTGATGCTGTCTCAGGTGTATCTGTACAAACTGAAACTGTTCTTCGACAAGCTCTGTCTGAACGTGTACAATTAGCATTAGTTATAAATAAAGTTGATCGATGTATATTAGAACAAAAATTAGAACCTGAAGAACTTTATCAAAAGTTATCAGGTATCGTTGCACGATGTAATGCCTTAATAGCAACATATCGAAGTACTGATGATATGATTTATTCGGATGAACATTTTAATCCAAAATTAGGTAATGTTGCATTTGCATCTGGTAAACAAGGTTGGGCATTTACAATACATCAATTTGCAACATTTTTTTCTGAAAAAACAAAAATATCTAAAGATAAATATATAGATCGTTTATGGGGTGAATCATATTATTCATCAGCAAATAAAAAATGGATTTCATATGAACAATCAAGATCAATTGATGATGCTAATCGTGGTTTTAATCAATTTATTCTTCAACCACTTTATCAAATTCTTCATGCATGTACAGAATTAAATATGGATGAAGTTCGAACATTATTAACAAAAATCGATATTAAATTACCAGCTGCTAAACTAGATGCTACTGTACTTGATGGTAAAACAATAACATCGAATGTAATGAAACGTTGGTTACCAGCTGGTGAAGCTATGTTACATTTAATTATTCTTCATCTTCCATCTCCTGTACAAGCACAAATTTATCGTATTCAACATTTATATGAAGGTCCTCAAGATGATCAAGTAGCATGTTCAATGAAAGCTTGTGATCCAAATGGTGAAGTTATGATTTACATTAGTAAGAAAATTCCTGCTCAAGATGGATCACGTTTTCTTTGTTTTGGTCGTATTTTTTCTGGTACAATTATATCAGGAACAAATGTACGTATTCTTGGTCCTGATTATCGACCAGGTTCAACAACTGATTTACAAATAAAAAATGTAACAAGTGTTGGAGTTATGGTTGGTGATCGTTGTATATCAATGAATCATGTACCAGCTGGTAATGTTGTTGCATTAACAGGTATTGATAAATGTTTAGTAAAAACAGCAACAATAACAACAAGTTCTGAAGCACATAATTTTCGTGTTATGAAATTTTCTGTTAGTCCAGTTGTACGTGTTGCTGTTGATGTAAAAGATCCAACTGATCATGCTAAACTTGTTGATGGTCTTAAAAAATTAGTTCAAGGTGATTCACTTGTACAAGTATTAAATGAAAATGGACAACATGTTATTGCTACAGCTGGTGAATTACATTTAGAAATATGTTTAGCTGAATTAGAAAAAACACATGCACGTTGTCCACTTAAAGTAGCAACACCAATTGTAACATATCGTGAAACGATAACTGCTGAATCACGTCAAATAGCTTTTACAAAAACAACAAATAAACATAATAAATTTTTTATGCGTGCATCACCATTAGAAGCAGGTTTAGCTGAAGCTATTGAATCAGGTCGTATATCATCGAAACAAGATCCAAAAGAAAGATCAAGAATATTAGTTGATGAAT